TATATATATATATATAGCTATTGGCTAACAGGTTAGGAATTAGAAAAATGCAAGCTCAATGGGGCGTCTGTAGAAAAAAAAGCCATTACACTCTTTCAAATTGGATTAGTTATTCAAAATAATATGTAGATGTTTCTCTGAAACCGTGTTATTAGAATAACCACTCAATTAAAAGCTGGTAAGCCTTCCGACTTCTAACTGAAAGGAGGTGAAGACCTTGTAAATGTGAAATCTTTATTCAAATCAGACCTGGTCATCTTCTCACATTTCTCGTTTAAAGAGACCCGTAATGAATGAAGTGTGTGATTAACCCTGACAGCTAATGCTCATCAACACGTGAAGAACGGGCAATAAACTTGTTTTGATCCCGTTAGCTTTAGCAATGTTTCTAGTATCGATCTTGTGCATGCTGTAATATTTTATACTAATAAACAAACTGTCTGACGCGATAATACTTTACAAGCATGTACATAATTTTTCTTTTCATCTCCCCTTATTATAAACTACACATCTTAACCCGTCATAAACACACAAACAGACTTTCGCCTTAACCCATCATAAACAGGGCTGGGTTAAGAGGGCGAATGGGTTCAGTTTATCCGGGCTCCCTGGCCCCCCAGTGGCACAGCGGTATCTCTTCGGACTTACAACGCTAGAAACCAGGTTTCGATACCCGTGGTGGGCAGAGCACAGATAGCCCTTATGTAGCTTTGTGCATAATTAAAAACAAACAAACCGGGCTCCCTGATCGAAGAGAAAACTAAAGAGATTAATCAAAAAACAGGCTGGCTTATTGAAAAGCATATGCTTGCAATTGTGTCACTATGACAGCAGCAATTTTGTCCTCCGGTGGGACAGCGGTAAGTCTACGCAATTATGACGCGTAAATCCGGGGCTCGATTCCCCGCGGTGGACACAGCAGTAGCCCGATGCTGCTTTGGTCGAAAATAAACAAACGGACACCAGCAATTTTAGTGGTTTCAAATAAACCCATTATTTTATAATTTATTCTTAACATGTTCTTACTTCTTCGTTCATAAATATTTGGGCGATCATTCAACAACAACAACAAAAAAAAATCATTGTCAATACTTTTTATCTATGATGAATAGTATAATTAGATTTTGTATATTATCTACCCATTGTTTGTGTAATACTCAAATTGTAGTTAATAAATAGTATTGAACTCTATTTGACGTATTTATTATGTTTAATTCTGAGGGCTTAATCCGGTTATAAT